GTGCTGTATATATGCTGAAAAAAGTGAAAAAACAGCATAAATTCCCTAAAAATGACCCAATCATGCTGATTTTCGAACTTGACCTGCGTATTATGAATATTCATCAGTTCTGTAAGTTTCAAGCCAAAAGGTAAAACCGTTTTCCACTTAACGTGTTATCGGTAAAAGTGCACGGCAACGGCGACGACAGACGCAGGTGATGGCTATATGTACAGACACATCTGTGTCTGTACATAAAAACTAACAGATTGATAAAATTAAAGCAATAATAACTCTTCGTTTTGGCCAAAAAATGAATTTTCCTGGAGTAAACATCAATTTTCCCATACTTACCAATGGTTAATGAATCCATTTTTACATTCAAAGTTAGTCCCTGGTTTTTTTCTAAAAAGTTTGGTTTTTTGTTAAAATCTCTTAAGAGATTTTAACAGAGTATAGACATCAATGGAGGTCACGTGGTCTAAAGACAAGTTCAGATATCAGAATAATAGCTATAACTGCTGTTTTTGTGGTAAAACAGAATATATTATATTTCTATGAGTTATTCACAAGGTTTTTATTGTGAAATATAGATCTCACATGAAGAGTTATTATCCCTTTAAAATAGACAAAGCACCAAAACATACAGTAGTAACAGAGAGAGAGAAAGAGAGTCAAGCAAATAAATGGCCAAACAAAAAGACAGACCCAAAAAAGAGGAGCAGCAATATTTTGATGTATTACACGATAGCTGATTACTGAACAACATTTCGACATCTCAAGGGGCTCATAAAGCTATGCCATAATCACATTTATTACAGACTCAGCACAAGCGAACAAACAAGTGTTGTTTGATGAAGAAGACTACAGTCCCACAGAGACCGCACTGTAAACCAATAGTCAATGTGTATGCCAGAGACATTTCTGCTTAGTTTACTTCTGGATTGCTCCTTCTAAGGCTGAAACAATACAATTCTCAGAGACACAAAACATTTTTGAGTGTTTTTCTTCTGTCTCTTTTTTTCTTTTGAATGCAGTACCTCCAGCATACATAGTTTTATCTATATTACCATTTTCATTTCTTTCTTCATACATTTATGTGCATTTTCCTTTAAGATGCGAGTCAAGCAATCCTTGGAATTTGAGATGACATATTCCACATTTTTTAGTTAAAATGTGCACAAAATAAAGGAACTAATAATGATATGCATATTATCATCGTTAAGGCATATATACTAGTAAATTGATTGGTTCAGTTAACCAAATAATTCACTGAGTAGTTGACTAGCTGAGCCCTAAGACCCCAGGTGTCCCCACAGTCTGGTGAGCAGCAGACAAACACAGCTCTGTAAACACAATTTATTGCCTGGTTTACAACTCACTTCAACTGTCTTCTTCATGTGTACTAGGAGCTTTAAGGTTCAGCAAATAAGGGTCTTAGAATCACAGAAATGTCAAAGTGACCTGATATAGTACTTAATTTTAAAGTAATTAAATTATGACTCAGATGATTAACCATAAAATCAAATGACCAGTGGTATAGTATTATTTTATTTTTCTCTCGCCTGAATGTTCTTAGTGTAATTTTCAGTTCACGCACACACACATGAACACACTAAATAAATAAATAAATAAATAAATAAATAAATAAATAAATAAATAAATAAATAAATAAACCATTTACATCCCCGACAATTCAGTCCCCTCTGGTGTTAAACAGTAATCATATATAACCCATACATTGGCCTTGCACACTGATCAGGTCTTGATACTGCTCTTCTAATAAGAAGGTTGCCCGTGCCATGTATAGGACAAATGAGATATTAAGACAACTAGAATCAGGATTGCTTCCGACATCTCTAATTCTTGGAAAGTCACCGGATAATTACAAGGAATCAATCATCGTTAACTGTCCCTTCTGGGAATTCTTGTGAAGCAGAAAAAGTTTCTCTAGTAGTGCTATATTGGGAATAACACATAAGATGTGCAATTAGGTTTGATTTATTTTCCAATGCTAGATCAATTACATGTGATCATCACAAATGTGTGGCTGCTTTTGTCTACTCACTAATTGATATGGTTCAACTATTATACAGCTATTATAACTTTTATATCAAATCCAGTACCTCTTTGATCTTAGAGGAAAAAAATTCTTGAAATCATTTTTTTACCCTTGTATCCATCCCCCAAAGAGCTTAAACTGCAGATAAGAGTAATCTTCTAATATTAGAAACATATTTAAAGAACTTCTGTTAACATTTGTCTAGGTGAATTATTAACAAAGTTATATATCACAGATATTAAGAGCACCTTGAAAATAGATATTTGAGAAAAAAATGAGTAGTAATTAACTTTTTATAAAAGCATTTAAGCTTATATAAACTGTTTTCTTAGCCAGCAAATTTAAGGAAGGGAATCCTTCTCACATAGCAAAGACCTTAAATTGGTATTGATAAAAATATGGAATTTCAGTCTAGATTGGATTTAGTATACAACTTAACTAATTAACCTGTAACCTTAATAATAACAAACCTATGAAGTGCATCAGATTTGAAAATTTCAGAAAAAGTGGTAGTTTTTTGCATTACCTAAACAGATAGAGAGAGACAGGAGATTAATGTGAAGACCATGCTGTTTGACCATGTAATCAATTACATCATACTTAAAAGAGTGACAAAATGTCAGATAACAAGAGAACATATGGTGAAATTGGGCTTCCATTTATACTCATATGTTTAAATTAATAAATACCAAAAATGCCAAAATCTTATCTTTTTAGTATGAGGTAACAGAGTGCTTCATCATTAATCACTGCCATCTTTGACAATTGATTTTTCTAATCTTTGTAATTTCTCAAAGCTAAAACAATATCATGCTCATGACAAGCTTAGAACTTGAGCTTTTACCTATCATTATCATGCAGCCACTTGTGCGTAGTGCATGTGCGCGTGCACACACACACACACACACACACACACACACACACACACACAATGAAACTAGAAGATCAGGGCCCTGTAACTCGAAAGCAGCGCTTATTGCGAATAGTGATATGACATAGAGGCTACAATGTATTATATAGGGCTAGTATGGGCAAGTTATGGAATCGAGATGCTTGCACTTGGTTGCAATGCACGGTGCTTTCGAGTTATGGGCCCAGAGCGATGATATAGATGCCAGGTATTGTACCACCAGTGAAATGAGCTCATTCATGTGGATGTACCTGTGCAGATCAGTAGGTTAAATGTCACATTCAAGGTGATATTAAGATTGCCAATGTATGATTTCCTATTCAAGTTCAATAGTTACTATGGGTATGTCTCTGTCAGTTTTAGAGATATAAAGGCCTGAAAATTTGCAAAGTTCAGTTCATGGGGAAAAGTATAGTAGGTTAAGGGTCAAATTCAAGGTCATATTAAGATTATATATGTGACCTCCAATTCGAGTTCAATGGTCACATGTATGTATCTCTGGTAGGTTTGTAGTATTTCACATTTTATTTTGTGCATTGTGACAACCATCACACCTAAAGGCAAATCACTGACAGAACCCAATATCTAGGAGGTTCAAGTTGAGGTTATTTGTGATCTAATTTGAAGGGATGGGACAGAGGCCTTTGTAGTTTGGAGGAAAACGCAGTAACAGTGACTTGTATCTGCCAACATGACACGTAGCCAGAGAAGCCACACTGGTGGTATTAATTAAATCATGCCAAGGTAAATTTTTTTACAGAATCTATTCAAAGAATTAGGAGCATGAAAAGTTTATAATTTCAATTACATTTTGAAAACATTTTGTTCAATGTCAACTTTACCTCATCCATGTGAAAAAATTAACAAATTTATTATCTGAACTATTTCTAATACTTTCTTTTATTCCAAGTGACATTTTTTCCAGTACATCTCTCCACTATGAGCCTCTATACATGGATGGTTTCTTCTCAATTACTCAGTAATATCATTCTGTTGTTTTAAACAGAAAAGGATACATAACTGTCATCAATCACAAAAACAACTTCAACTTTATTTTGGAAATAAAAATTCAATCCCAATGCCTGTGAGGTAGTACTTTTGTATTAAGTAAGTTAGACTTGCGTTGTAGTCAGAACACATATGGAATAGCATGTACATATAGTGCACATAATTGTCTGATAACCGTTTTCTTCACCTGGAATCAACACTACATTATGTGAGAGGAAAGGTTCAAAACAATTCCTCAACATCTGACATACTGTTAATAGAAAGCGATCCAGATCACTGGCATTCCATCTGGTATGAGAGATAAAGGATAAGGAACAAAAATGAATACATTTTTCTTCATCAAGTAACACAGATAAATGTCAAAAGCCTGCCAAATGCAGTTTTCCACTATCCTTCAGTGTGAAGGAGAGAGAGAGAGAGAGAGTGATAGAGAAAGAAAGAGAAAGAGAAAACATTATCTAGAAAGCTGCCTGATAACTGCACATCATACTCTAATTCACCTGTGAAATTATTGGTATTACATAAGTCATGACTGACTCATAAAACATCTGTGGTATTGTCACTTGATTTTCCTCTTTCATTACTTGGAACTATAAGAAAAATACTCCCTTTATTCATTAAGTTGCAGAAAGTGAAAGACTTCCAGTACACAAATAAAAAAATCCCTGCCCTTCCCTCCAGGTGCAATCCTCTGAATCACCTTAGACAACGAAAGTACTTGTTCACCAGATTGTCAGTAAATCAATGGGTTGTGGCAATATTACATCCTTTCTTCTCAACACATGAATGCAGACTTGGAAAACCAACCCGATAATTGCATGTATCCCAAGCATAATAGTGATGATGTCAGGCAAAAAATCAGCGGCCTGGCCTATCACAGCAGTTGAATTTGGCGTACTACACTGCTAGGCATTTATAAAGCTCCTAGAAAACTCTAGGAAACCAGTCGATCAGTAGAAGCACCTGCACTGGGTTGTGTGTATTGATTCTTGGAGCTTACGCCACAGTGATCTCTCTCAGCACTGCCTGTGATAACTTAAAACCACACAATTATAGCCGACAACACTCAACATGACTCAATTCCTGGGAAAATGGAACTTTGTTTCTGTGGAAAATTTGGATGTATTTATGGATTCTCTAGGTAAGGGGCTGATTTCTACAATGTTTTGTATAGTAGTGTAAAATTTAATGAAAACATAAGCGTGAGGTTATGATCCAATAAATAATTTAAAATTATGATTGTTTGTTCAGACTTATAATTACAAAGTAAACATTCCTCTTAATATTTCAACAATTTCTTTAAAAATGTATCAAATGATGAGGCAGTAACTGCATGAGCTCACGCCCACATCTCCAAACTTGTCTTGATAAAAAATTGTTACGTAACTAAGATGTATATAGCAACTTGGTTGTCTTCAATTTTTCTTCTAAATGCTTTCTAAAAAATAGACAATATAAGCAACATATTACATTAAATTAAAAATGACAATAACAATGTACAATAATATAAGTAAAAGCAAGTCAGTGAATCAAGCAGTAGCTTCACTGGGCAGAGAAAAAAGGCACAGTGGAATAGAGTAAATTGTTATCTCTTTCATAGTACATTTCCCGTGTCTCTGAATACACCACTTTCGCTTTTCTATACAATGCTTTCAGAATTATAAAATCTTTGTTCTGCTTCTGGCACTTACAATGCATAACTGTCAAAATCCCAGACATGGAATGGATGAGCTGTCAACTTTGTCTGATCATGATTCAGAGGGGAGTAAAAATCTTGTTTGATTCTGCTTCTCTTTCTGTAATGTCTCATTAGACAATATGTTTTCCTTCACTAGTCATGCAAATCTCAATTCAAATTGTCAATAAACATAAGCTACATTAGCGTATTAAAGACCTCATTAGGATTAGCCAGGATTCCAAATCTTATTTTGTAGCAGCATGGCATGCAGCATGTTCACAACCATGCTTACCCAAGTCGCATTTTCAGGTAATTTATGTCAGCCTTACTCAGTACAACCACTCTCAGCAGGCTGCCTGATCGTGACTAACTGACCACTGGTAGCAAAATCAAGTCTCTGTATCTGCATGTCCACTGTGACATACACTGAGGTTTGTCACATAATCTGGCTTCAGATAACCTGCTAGGACGGGACATGTGTTCTTTGGTAGGTTCAAGAGAGTGGACATACGATTTGAGATCCAAAACATTTATTGATGTTTAAAGGAATCACATGTGATCAATCACCATGGGGGTTCTACATTCAAACAACTCATTAATTACAATTTTTTTCATCTTTTTAATTACTTGCAGAATTATGTTTTCAGAGTGAACTCACTTTCAAGAACTTCTGAATCTTCCTCATTACTAAAACATCATTATTGGAAACATATCAAATAACTTTTGTTTTAATTGAATGAGTAATTATCATAACTCTGGTGATTTCAGCTGGTTTATTTCAAGTTTGACTTGGTCTAAATGTGAACACAACTTTATACTGTTTATGCTGTTCAGCAATTGCATATCTAAAATACAAGCATACTATTTCATATGCAATATCACCTTAGTCAAAATTGTTTCTCATTTTTCAAAATTTCTTTTTATTCCTGAAATTGTAATAATGCTAATTAACGTAAGAATCAGAAAGGATCTAGAGCTGTCTGATGTAAAACTAACTGGGGAAAGCTTTTCCTCAGTTCTGACTGCTCATCAGTTTCTCCAGTATAAATGATCTTTTCCCAATATAAGATAACCTTCTGCAGGAGGTGGCAACCAAAACCCCATCATATCTGGCAAACAACTCATAGTAATACTAGAGATATACTTAGGGTTACACTCAATATACGCACAAGCCTCGCTTCTTGACCCAACAAACGTTTTATGTTTTTTTACACAAATGCCTTGTTTGATGCAAGGCGCGTTACTCACATCATATATCTTTTGTAATGCATTTAGATAGTGGTGAAATATGGAGCATAAAATCAGCGTAACAGCATTAGGCTTTTCCCACATCACATGTATTATACAGGAGATGAAAGATTTCCAAAAATGTCTACAAATGATCAGCTAGTCTAAGAATAGTTTTAATTTTTCATACAAATAACTTTTTGATTTTGGGTTTGTGTTCATTATATAACACAAACTTACACACCCACTAGACAGTGCATCTACAATTAATGCAGTCTGACGATCTCCCCCTGACATTCTGACAAAAATAAATATCACAAGGCAATTACACACCAAAGAACAGCATATTTTCATGTCAAATCCTGATCTCACAACCAACTTATAAAACAATCACGGCAAAGACAGCAGTCTTAACAGAACTGTTGATAAGCAGGGGCTCAGCTATATATGTGGCATATCAAATCACTCAATCATCAACATTTTTATGTATCTTTACAGGCAGTTTCAGATGGATTCCCATCATCACTTAAACTGAATAGTATTCATCATGTGCATCATACAGATGTCTGTTAAGACTAATGCTATTTGTACATGTTATCGTTTCTTTGCCCCCCAGTCATAATCGCTCAGGCCACTTGGGGTCAAGTTTACTTAACCGATACTAACAATTTGTAGGAGCTATTTCAGGTTTTCTGACCAATACTCGCCAATACTGGCCACGGAAATCAATACAACTAGTTGGCATGTTTGTAGCTCAGCTGCTTGGAAAAATACAAAGTGTTTAGTACCTGATAGATATTCATTAATGTAGACAGTAAATGTAATCAATGTGAACAAAATCAGGCCCATAGCCAGCAATTTAAAAGGGGAGGGGCCACTCTGTCTTAAAAAGTGGGCCTTTTACCATGAAGCCTGCATGTACCTAAAACAATTTATAACCAGATCAGACCTTTTCCTGGCAAAAAGGGCGGTAACTTTGAGTCCCCCACCCCTTGAATCCAATTGGCTATGGGTCTGTATATAAAAAGTGCTCTGTATATCATGAGGTAGAAAAAAACTGATGAAAAATGATTTCAAAATATGCAAATGAGTTCACAATTTAACTGTTTTGACAATAACTGAAAATTACACTAAGTATTTTTATTTCTTTTTTTCACTAAAATAGTGTAGAATATATATATATAATTTTTTTTAAAGTCACTCCATTAAATAATGCTCTGAACACTTTCAAGAACTAAAGCAAAATCATATGCTGCAATATTTCTTTAGCAAGTTCACGTAAATGTAGAAAGAGCAGTTAACATGATCAAAAGTGACATACAGAAGCATTTAACAGGTAGAGAGCTTACTCTTTTAAAACTGAACATAGCTCAGGTTAATAAACATGACTAGGTGGAGCAGTATATTTATGTCTGAGATAATCAGCCACAAATGTTCTATAACCTGCAGCGTACATTGAAGAAAAGGTTGTATAACACTGTGTTCAGCTTTTGAACATGAAAATACAGCCTCAGTAGTTCTGGAGCATTCTTTCTACAGCTTGAGATAAAACATGATGCATCATTAGCAAAATGTTTTAAGCATAAAAATGAGTAACATGGTTCAAATTCTTCTTCTTTCACCTGTCTCCTGACTATTCCATTGTGAATACACATTTAGCCAAAGGCTGGATACTTACTGTGTAAGGCAAATCCTCTCCAGCTAGGGAGGGTCCATACCTTCTACTGGGGACAGGCTTAGCAAAATAATAATCTGGGGGGAATTAAAGATGAGACATGATTCATGCCTCAAACTTGCTACCACCATTTAAGAGCAAGAGTCCCCAGCTCCACCTCTGAACACTTTTTATATATCCACCTGGGGTTATCATAATAGATTGTCTTTGTTCCCATGTATTGCTCATAAAAAACAATTGATCAATCCATTTTGATAATTGAAATAATGGAAACAGTTGTGATGTGTACATAAAAGACATGTATAAGCCTAGCTCCGGTGAAGATGAGATAGCATAACTACATGTAATAATTATATATAAGTACAACACACCTCATCAAGCTGTTTGATTGCAATTAACTCACCACAGGGAGCAAACTTATTCCTCCATTGCTATGCCAATTTCTACCATAATTGAGATACAAGTTAGTCATATGCTGTTAGATTGGTTTCTGATGGTTCACTTAGAATAATAAGGTAATAGGCTATTTGCTGAAGTGGGCCATGCTACTTAAGTAAGGCTGACCCATCTTCACTGGGAACACATCTTCACTGGCAATAAAACCATACAATATTTTAGGTACAAAACCTGAGGTCCGCGAGTTCATGCAGAACACCAACCCAGACATGGAGTATTCACAAGAGGGAGATGAGTGGGTGATGACTATACACATTCCTGGCTCTACTAAGGTCACAAAGTTCAAGCTAGGGGAACCCTTTGATAACACAACACTAGATGGCATGCCAGTCAAAGTGAGTGTTTTCTATCAGGTTTTTACTGATAAAAAAAAACAAAGCAAATCACTTTATCATGTCACTTAATAAGTGTGAACTTAAAAATAGTAATGAAATTATAATAATAATTACACAAAAGGAAAGGTTTTATCAACATACAAATGGTAAAAAACAGTAATTTTGTTAATTAAATGACACTTTTAATTGTAGATTTTTAAATCTTATACTTGTGAAACCATAAGCTTTCAACTTTTATGGGTTACAAGATTTTCAAAACAAAATTGTTTTTATTTCAGAGTACAGTTACATTAAAAGACAACAAGCTTAGTGAAACCTATTCTGCTGATAATGGCAAGGTAGATCTCACAAGAGAAGTCAATGGTAACCAGCTTATTTCAGTAAGTAAAAAAATTCAAATCGGAAATGTTTTCAAACAAAAGAATTATAGTTTTTCTCCAGATAGACTAGTCAAGAAGTTCAGAAGAAAGTAATGTTTTTGAGTCACCACCCGATGCAGCATGTACCCCCCTCCAACCCCCCCACCCATAACCTCATTTCTCATTGGGTCATACTGGTGGTGTCCAATGTTTCAATCTATATATAGACAGTTAATCCCCTATACAGCATGCACTCTTCAATGCAGTATAAAATATTAGAAACAGAATCAGGAACAGGTTAGGAGGGGCATTTCCATTAGACTCCCTCGTTACAGATTTGTATAAAAATAAATGAAAATTTCACAAAACTTTTATTAAGTAAAAGAAAATTATCAAAGTGTTGTTTCTTTCATATATCAATTCAGTATAATTAAAAGTATTCTATCTACCTTTGAAAATACCCCACCCCAAGTCGTAATTTTTTACCAATTTCCCAGTAACAATTTTGTTTAAGAATTCCAATCAATTTCATGATGGATGACCAAAGACATTCAAATCACTTATATGTCCATTTTCATTTTCAGTCAGTCCTTATGTCCTTTCTTTACCATCTTAGGAATACATTTTTGTTCTCTAGATGACCTTATCTGAACAATTACAAAGTGCTATACATCAGCTTACAGATCAGTCTGATGGTTAGACAAAACTGACAGCCATGAAGGGCATAAGTATGGTTATAACCTTATCAACTGCACATTTATAAAACAAAAAGGACTTGATGAAAAAAATTCAGTCAAGATAACTACATATACAATGTCTATTCATGATGGAAAATAACACTGGACTATTTATTTGCACTCAGTGGACACAATATAATTGAAAAAACCACAACAACAACAAAAAAAAAAACAGAATCTGTATTCAGCTGTTATAAAGAAATCATTTGTATGAAAATTATTGTCTCTGCTCACCTGCTTATTTCAGAATTTCCTGGCTAAAAAAAAAAAAAAAAAAAAAAAAATGCCAGCACTGCCATGAGGGTTAGGTTGATCTATCATAAGGTAATAAAGATTCAATACGGAAAACTGTCAGAAACGATAAGCTGTTCTCCCTCTCATTTCCAAGGCTAGTCATGAACACATTTCACAGTGATGGTATTGTAATGGCACTAAACATTGTGCTTAGCATTTAGAAGCCAGCATCTTGGGAGGGAGAGGGGGGGGGGGGACAGGATGGATGGGAATTGTGTCCTTATATCACAAACCACTCTTTTTTTGCTCTGATTACATTTATTATATGTTCTTTTGGTATTTATGTATCTCTCTTGGTCTTTCTCTTTAAAAGTGAAATAAAAACTGAAACATTTATCATGCATCTGGTTTGTTTTTCTATACACAAAAGCAGAATAAATTTGCTGAGCCAGACAATAGCCTAAATACAATTTGTGGCAATAAGAGCACATCTCTTTTTTTATTTTCTAATGGGAATTTTTCCATGTTCAGAGTACTCACAAAACAGTTCAACACAGAAAAATATTCAGATCTACATGAATGACAGGGCATCACTGCAGACAGGTTTTCAGCAGGCTGCAGTTATGTTTCTAAATATAGTTACATGTATATCAATGCATATATGTTTCATGGATAACCTTAGAGAGAAAGACTATTGATACTCAAGTGAAAAGAAGATAAAAACAGTCTGGCTGTAAAACTCTAGATATTGGCCACAGTGCTATGTTTTGACTTAGGAATAACAGTACAGGAACTTATTACCATAGTTGACTTTTGAGTAGGAGGGCAGGGGGCATATAGAAATTACTCCGCATTTTTTAAAAACATGTAATATGCAATTCACCAAGGTAGTTTGCTTTTGAGAAATAACACTATTATAGAGTACCATTAGATGTATAACCAGCTCTTAAGCTGCAGTTTCTCATATTGATGTTTCATTTGTCTTACAGATTGCCTGGCACAATGATGTCAAGTGCACATGGATACACAACAAGGCATGAGCAATGGATAACTTTGGATATTATTTTTCTGGACAAATGACAGATATTGCTTATTTTTTGTATCTTAAAGAAAGAGGCAACTGGAAATAATAGAGGGGTTATTCTCAGAGGAGATAACAAATGAAAATTGTGATGATGATTGGACTGCAAAACATGAATAACATTTTAATGTGGCGCTATTCAATAGTGACTGTTTTAAACTTTATGTGTGTAGTAATGTGATAGATCAAGGCTTAAAGTCATTCTAGGTAAAATAACTGTATGATTGTAACTGTGTATTCAAACTGTAGAGCAAAATATTAAATGCTATTATTTAATTTGTTCTCTTCTCATCATTGTGTCTGTTGAGAAATGATTTCATTTTCTCTCTCCTAGTGCAATTATTGTTAAGCAGATTTACAATAAACTAAATCAGCTCCTCTAATACAATGCTATATTGTCACAGGCAGTTCTATATGGAATGTGTGCATTTTTATTAAAAAAGAAAATATGCTTCAAGATAAGCTTCTTCTTTTTTCTTTTTATTTCACACTTACATCTGAGGGAAAAATTATTGCCAAGACAATCACGAAAAAGCTCTATTGGCTTCAATATACTAAAAAAATCTAAATGACCTTTTAGACCTTTTGGTATTTTCATGAAATATAATTAAGTCCACTAAGATCTATGAAAGCCACTGTTGAGACCAATTTTAGTGAATTTTTTAACATCAGCAGTACTTATATATTTATCACTGTCTTAATTTCAAAAACAGCTTATTAAACAAATTTTCGCTACGGACATTTGTACAAAATACATGTATAAAATTAATTCATTATCACAGCACTTTAAATAACAATTGTTACAACACATACATTGACAGTTTATCAAAATTGAAAACAAAAAAGCCTATCAATTCTCATAGTAACTCCCAATTCAGTATTAAAAAAAAAAAACGATATAAACAACTATATCAATAAGCCAGAGATGCATAAATTAATACCATTTGCATACCCAAAAGGCCCTCCTGATGTATCCACTGTGTTCATGGCAGTAGCTGGCTCTGAAACAGAAGTAACATTGTGAAAATTTATTAACATTAGCAATACATGTACAACCAATGAGCTGTATAGTAGCAATCATTTAACTAAAAACTGTAGCTCTGCATATAAATGAAATCACACCTCCTTTGTCATTAATTATTTAGTAAAAATCATTTCGTGTAAGGTCTCAATGCCTTAATATGCATTAAAATGAATACTGGCACATTTAGGTTTGAATTCAATGCTCTAAGTTACCCAGTGTGAATAAAAGCGCTCAGTGATTTCAAATACAACTTGTGACAGTTTTTGAGACCTACCAGTAGTTTTCATGTTTGACAGTAAACGTATAATACCCAAACTAATCTTAGCTTTAACAATTATATCAAGTTTTTATTTATTTATTTATTTAATGGTGAAGGTTGACCAGGGCATTAAACTGCATCTACTGTAGATGCTATTAATGGATCAGCAATTCATGCAGAGGCACTTTGACCACTGCTACAATGCACAGCGCAACATAATATATTCTGACAAAACTTCTTTTTGGTTCCACTGCAAGGTGTTTTTAGAAAAAAAGTATTGGTAACTGATATACATTTCCTTTAACTTATAAATATAAAGTTATGTAATGTAAATAGCTGAATAGACAGAATGACATGCCTCTGGCACTTGATCCTACTTATGACTTTAAATTTACTCAGGTCATTAAAAATCTAAATAGGAAGCAGGAGTGGAGCCTGAGGGGTCTACCTAAATTGCGCAATACACCGCAATACAGCGCAACACAGCGCAATACACTTGAAAAAAACAAGTCCAGTCACAAGTTAACACGTGAAACGGTCATTCCAAACAAAATAGGCTGATATAAGAGCAAAATATGTTACTAAATAATTAAACGCCTTGATAAAACTTAAGAAATTGGCACCCTTTGTTTATCGTCGGGTCAATCACCATGTTGACTAGTGTCTCTTCTTGGCCAGTAATACTGTCAAAAAGAGCCACAAGCCAACATGGCTGCCGACCCAACGATATTGAAGTAGCGCCGATGTGTTAGTTATATCAATGATATCAATAATCTAGTCAATTATTTTGCTTTTATATCACCTTATTTTGTTGAGAATGATCGTTTTCTGTGTTTACTTGCAACTGGACCTGTTTCTTTTTTCTTTTTTTTTTTTTTTCAAGTGTATCATGCTGTGTTGCGCTGTATTGAGGTGTATTGAGCAATTTAAGCAGACCGGAGCCCGAGTTATGTAGCACTAGCAGATCAGGTAAAGAGCGAGTCAAGGACCAGAACTACAACATCAGGTAGTGACATTGCCGCTGTTGGTAGATTAAGTTTTAGAAGGAGTGGATTAGTTTCTATGATTCCGACCTAATACTAAGATGCAAAATAGGTCATTATGTCAATTTTGATGCAATGATAAATGCTTATAATAGCACAGTCAGTCAACACTGATTTTTAATCATGCACAACAGGTAACATGGTCAATAACAGGAGCAGATTCAGAGATATTTTCTGACAGTATTCCAAAGTATCTTTGTTGATCCATCCTCCATTTTGATAGTCTTCCAACAGAAACCCGTTAATATAAACTGTAAAATCTGACTGTNAAAAAATGTATCGAGTATAACGAAAAATAAATAAATACAAGCTCATACTTTCTGCACTCTCCATCAGCGTGCTGTTCTTTTCTGGTGCTCCGTGGCAATCTTTGGTGTTCTGCTTGCTAAAAAGGGACCCTATTTTGATTAAATTGAAGTGAAACCTTCGTTTGTTTCTCTTTCAGGAAGTATATTTGCTTCCCGTCTCCAAAATCCAAAGAGTGCCAAGAAGAGCCTGACAAGAAGACTAAAGGAGAGGGAAATGCAAGTGGGCACATTTATCAGATGAATAATGTGCAGCTAAGACATGTGTCTTTTTTATTACTAATTTAAACTTTAATAACATTACATGTATGATACATATTATGTACAAATCGACTACAATAACCATGGGTATCGTAGTAAATGCCCACCGGCATTTTTCTGCAAGAGGAAAGTTGACATTAACGAAACATACAAAATTACTCAAGAATAGCCGTATTAGTGCTGGTTTTTCACACCAAAGGGATCTTAGTAACTGCCATGTATTAGGTGTTTCTGTACAGCCGGTTCTGCATTCCTACCAACAAAAAAGGACTTTAACAAACGGTTCATCTGGACATCCTCTCAGTGGTCTGTCGAAATTGTTCAACCCAGAGACGAATCCATGCGTTGATTTTGGTATCAGGTATTTGGAATGGGTACACGATGTAACAGGATTGCCATGGTGGGGCACCATTATATCAGCTGCAATAATTGCTAAACTGTCCATATTCCCTCTCTTCTGGTATTCTGTATACAAGAGGGCCATATATCAAAGTGTACACCAAAAACTTGCTGTCAAAAGGCAACTGGTGGATCAGAACCTTTATCATATGCAGCGGGTCATGGGGTTTTCTGATAAAGAAAGAAAACAGGAGCTAGAAGATAGTGTAAGTTAATTGTAGGTAAAACAACCTACATGAGTGAATTATCCCTTTGATTTCAAGTTCACAGTAACAGCATTGCTTGATCAGGTTCACAACATTTATCTTCTGAAATACTAAGTTACAGTTCTGTTGTACTGAGATATCCCTACATGGTGGCCTCAACATATTTAAAGGTATACTGTAAGTGTTTGATTTTTTCCCCAGAATCACAATTTCTATGTCTACATACCCTGCAAAGCTTCTTATCATGACTGTAATCTTTCCCAATGTAAAATACTTCAATACTACAGTATATAACACCTCAAACATAAGTGCCTGATGCTAGTTCCATCTGAAATGTACAGGAAGACGTGGGGTCTTAAATGACTGGCCAGTCACTTAGAAATAAATCTTTGACAAGAAAAAGGGATAAAGCATGATTTAAAGTACATGGACAGGTCGAACTATGATTCTTGAGTAGAAGAAAACTGTTTTTTTTTCCTCACAAAAAGATTCATTTTGATAGGTAAATCCCATATTTAACAATAGCACAATCTTATATTTACAGTGTTTCTTAATTGACAGTTAAATGGACCTCTGTTATTGTAATATTATTTATTTAGTTTAAGACATTAAGAAAAGACCACTACGAGAAATACATGGTCCACCCCCTACAACCAACCCTTGCTATGCTGATCCAAGCCTCACTGTGGTTCTCTATGAGTGCAGCACTGAGGAATATGAGTGGATTACCCCTTCCATTCACAGGAGAAAGTAAGGAGTTATTGGTGCATAATATATTAAGTTGGAATGAAAAATTACTAGTTTCACTTAGAATTTGTACAATGTGGTGTGTGTGTGTACGTGTTCATGCACGTGCAGGTGTGCCTATGTTTCTGTATATGTTGCAATGGCACAAAATTCTAAAGATTTGGGTCATTTTTTGCTCAGACTGTGAAGCAGAAAAAAATAGAGTCATGTCCATGACTGTGAATCACTGTGATCAAGCAAATGAGAGTTATTTTTCAGTGTGTCAGGGTGAAAAATCACTACCTCATGTGTTATCTATTTTAGGGGGGTTGTTTGAGCCAGGGTTTGCTGAAGGAGGAGTGGCATGGTTCCCAAACTTACTCCTCCCAGATACATCTATGGCTGTAGGTCTGATCACCTTTTCCATCCTTATCATCACTAGTCAGGTATGCTGCCATTGTTTTCCACCTTAGATTAAGACCAGACAAAAACATGGTTTGTAACAGTTTTATCTTTTATGGCTGAAGATTTATATCAGAGTGCAAGAGCTTTTGGAGCAAATGTAAAAGGATCCAGTTGTATCACTTGGTAATTGTTTTTGTATATAGACAAAGCAAAAAGGACTCGGCTGTTTTAAAACAGATCTTGTTTGTACATATGCAATACACATTAAGTTTTCAGAATATTTTAGAAGATAAATTTAGCTTTCCACAATGTAGATTTAAATTTGATTGTGGTACAGATATGTTATTTTGAAAATGTAGATTTATGATGCTGTGATAATTTTTCAGATGTCCATTTTAACAACAAGACAGAGACTACAGGGACGTCCAATGCCATTAGTGGTGAAGACAGTATCTGTTTTTGGTCATCTTGGAGCAACTTGGCTACTGTATCTTTCTTCAATATTACCTTGTGTAAGTGTAAAATAGTTTTGCTATGTGTTGTGGTCAGCAGGGCAGAAAAAATGCATTAAATTATTCGCTTTGCAGTTTAGTAAGAAATAGACTGTTGTTTTATTTAATGTCTCATATTCACTTTCATAAGAGAACTTCGTATCAAAAGTTTTTCTAACTTTTAGACCTAAAATTTTAGACTGTTTACTTTCACTCAAGATAAAATAGCACTGTGAAAATTTTTTGTCATTATAGAGATATTCCTTCAAATTCCAGACTCAAAAACCCCCATAAGTGTAGTTTTAAGTCACTTTTTTTTTCCTTCACTTGGCTTCAGCAGAGCAAATAGTTGCATCCTTGTTTTCTGTTGTCTCTAAACAACTCTGCTTAAGGAGGGAGGAGTCTGCATTCAGAACAGTCGACTAACTAGTCTGAGGTTCAAAGATGGCCATCTCACTTGAATACTTCCCCACGGGGAATCTATTCAGTGTCTATTAGCAGATTAGACGACAAGCTTTTTAGTGGGTTGCCACGGACTAGTTTGCCCACTGTTCTGAGTGTAGCCTTAATCATGTTTAGTGTTAGTTAAAATTATTCAAATTAAAATTCAGATAAATATTTTTTTTTCTTTTCAGAGCATGACTTTATACTGGGGTGTATCTGGAGGATGCTCACTTATTCAGAACCTGGTCTTTCTCTCTCCCAGGGCACTCAATATCCTGAAAATTCCAGTGATGTTTCCGAATCCTACACCATATAAATCTTTGATGACAGAAGCCAAGCGCCTTTATCTGAAACCATTTCTACCACAATCTAAAACACCTAAGAAAAATGAGAGAAGTTGAAGGCAGTCAGTCATTTGTTTCATATATATTTATAACAACACTTACACATATTTATAAATGTATAAAACTTTGAAAAAAGGTATTTGTGAGAATTGAAATGCTCCTTATCAATAAAAAACTACAATAAAAAGAGCAGGATGCCTAAAAGTGATGACAGCATGACATACTTGAAACCTGTTTGGGTCTTGTTGTCGTGTTAAAATATGATTAACATGTACATTATAAAGTCTTTTAAACAACACCAAAATGTTTTTAATTTGTGAAATATACACACTCAGGTACATGTATGCTATCAGAAACAGAAGTGATTTAATGCCCAAATCGCAACATCAGAAACTTATCTTCCTTTGAATTGTGTCCAAAATTTGGTAAAAGTATTTAGGTAGAGTTTGGTTAGTTGTACGGTTAGCTGAATGAGCGAGCTGTCTTAAGATTCTCCAGATCTTGGCCAGTGAAATAAATGTAGGGATCAGTTGTTGTCTGTTAATAGATATGCTGATCTCTCTTTATTAAAATACATTTAAACGACTCTACACGTGAGATTCAAAAATTCACATTGTAAACAACAGAAATATAATAGTAAATTCTATTTTACCAACAAAACGGCGGTTATCGCAATTATTCTGAAACCTGTGCTTTGTTTCGGACCACTTGGACCTTCATAGAGAGATTATTGCAATTACCACGCTTTAAAAAATCAATCGACCAAGTTTGATTGTCGATTAATTAAACATTAGAAAGTATGGGAAAATAATCGTTCCCCCAGAAAAATTCGTTTTATGATACTTATCCCGCCAAAATGATGAGTTGTCATCCCTTCAACCTTTTTTTTTTTTTTTTTTTTGATAACTCATATTTTCACCAAATTAAGTTTAACACCTCTTTGTCTACTTTATACAGCCTGGTAAAAATACAAACATAACGTGTAGCACTACAGGTTCATAAATTAAACGGTGACATCCAGTGTCCCAAAGTGTTGACGCACAAGATCAGAACGTAACGTCCGCCGCGGAATAAACTTGTGTTGCCTGCGTGGCAAGGAAGATTCCACCACCGTTTCAATGCTTTTGGAATTATGTAAAATGGGCACTTTGGGCTGTGGCAGATGAAAAAACAGTGAATATCATTATTAAGATTATATTTTTATGTGGTATATTGTACAGTTCACACCGAGGGACATATAGTGATACAATTAGTGTAGATTGGCTTGAAAAAGGAGCGTACAACACCTCCAATCTCCTTATAAGAGATGCACCGTCAGTTTCTGGTTTAAAAAAAAATAATAAAAGCAATATGATGAAACCAACTTTTTGTCTCTAAATATGTCTGATGAGTGTCCCCTGCATTGTATCACCCGGATACGTCTAGTGCGCCTCCGGGAACCGTAGAATGAAATAGCACGACATCAGGTATTAGTGGTATTATTTTTTTTTAAAGATCCGGTTCATTTAGGCCTGTACTGTTTTATTTATTGAATGTTTATCAGCTCAAAGTCACCTTGGTCGTTTCATGTCACAGAGAACGAGTGTACATAATACTCCTCTGCCGCCTGAGTAAATCATTTACTGTTTTATTTTACGTTAGTTGACACATAAACAGCGCGATGAGAATTTTATGCATTTTGGGACTTGCAACGACTGTTTTTGTTGTTACTGAGCCTGTTTCAAGCAAAGTACTCGAAAATGTGAAGGTAATAGATTATGCTTATGAATGCTGTTAATAAATAAACTGAAACAAGTACGTTTTTGAATATTTTCAAACCTTCATAATGTTTCTATTTTTTATTCTCTCAAATTTCACTCATTATTTTAGGCGAACTTCTAGTTAGTAANGAAAGATCCGGTTCATCTAGGCCTGTACTGTTTTATTTATTGAACGTTTATCAGCTCAAAGTCACCTTGGTCGTTTCATGTCACAGAGAACGAGTGTACATAATACTCCTCTGCCGCCTGAGTAAATCATTTACTGTTTTATTTTACGTTAGTTGACACGTAAACAGCGCGATGAGGATTTTATGCATTTTGGGACTTGCAACGACTGTTTTTGTAGTTACTGAGCCTGTTTCAAGCAAAGTACTCGAAAATGTGAAGGTAATAGATTATGCTTTTGAATGCTGTTAATAAAAAAACTGAAACAAGTACGTTTTTTAATATATTCAAACCTTCAGAATGTTTCTATTTTTTATTCTCTCAAATTTCACTCATTATTTTAGGCGAACTTCTAGTTAGTAACATAAAGCATTTATTATAAGGTGTATAAAGCTTGTGGAACTTACTTCCAGATCCCAGAGATCAGACAGCCAGAAACCGGAGAAGGTGAAGTAATGGTTATCACTTTGGCGGCCCAATGTTTTAAGCTGGGTCTATTTAGCGGGGGTGTGGAAGGGAGGAGGCAAGGAGTAGTCTGGGGAGTTTTTTTTTTTTTTTCTGGGGGGGGGGGGGGGCGTATGCAGCAAGACAACACGGCCTCAAAATACATTTATTTTTGCCCTGCTTGTTGAGAAGGGGGTTAAACCCGCCAAAGTTCTGTGATGCTTACAGTTATGGGCGCTGTAGATTAATTTTTAGATGATAGCAATCTATTCTTTCCTCTGCAATAATGTGAACATGTCCAAATTATTGCGATTTTTGAAGCCTCTATAAATGCTTTTAATAAAGCTCGCCATTTCCTTTAAAAAATAAGACTAACATTGAACAAGAACATAAGATAAAATAGATTTAAAATATAAAACTATTGATCTTAAATGTTTGGGTGATAACCACGCCCGTAATGTTGTTCAGAAAGCATTTTTAAAAGGTGTTTATCAAACTGATGAACGATATGGTATTTTTCAGAAAATATTCAGTCCGCCGGTCAGACCAAGAATGTAAGTGTAACTACAAGCAAAATAAATGCTCGAAACAAAATTAAAGTAGATAGGCATATGTATCCCACTGTCAAAAAGATGAACATATATCAGCACTGCCTAAGATTCATGGGGTATATATTTTTGTTAAAAAATATCAGCAAAGCGCCATATAACGTGTTTGAAAAAATAACTTGCAGGTAAAAAGATCGTCAAAATCGTTAGTGGATGGAATTGTATTCGACGGCGATCAAGAGGGGAGGATAGTGAAGCGAGGAACAAGGGACGGAGAGACGGGGAGAGGGCGACCACGACGACCACGGCCAACAAGGCCAAGTCGCCCCACACCGTCTACACCCTCCTATGAAACAATCGAGAGCGGCCAGATAATCAGGTAAGCCGGGATGTCAAGACGGTCTGTTTCTTATTACATGTACCAGTATAAATTAAATCGTTTGTGATCGTTTTTAGGTGCAGTCTTGGGGCACACCAATAACAAAGTTATAAATTTGTTAGAAAAGAGAAACATGTACATCACATAGAATAATTTAAAGGTATTTTGCCTCTTTTAAACGGTTAGTAATGCATTAACTGTACTGCAGACTTCGAGGAGGGACCACGTCACTGGCGGGTCGCGTGGAGGTATTTCTAGGAAGCAGATGGGGTACTGTATGTGACGATGCCTGGAACGTGGAGGATGCTCATGTTGTATGTAGACAACTGGGCTATGACAGGTAGCCTACGTGTGTTATATTTCTATTGTTGGACACGTTATCATCTGTAAAATCTTATGAGAATTGACATTTGAATGTCATAGTGAATGTTTTAAAACTTATTTGTAAATCTTATTGGTTGAAATGACGTTGTTGTGACTTCAAGTAAAATGTTAAAAATGAATAAATTAAACCCCTTGATAAATATTTTTGAAAAAAAAAACGTTTTATATTAACCGTTATTTTGCCCTTAGAGGAGCAGAAGAAGCAACAGTTGGTGGAGTGTTTGGACAAGGACAGGGTGAAATATTGATGGACAATGTCCAGTGTTTCGGCTTTGAGTCCAGTCTTCAGAGCTGTTCGCATATCCCGGCAGCGGGACATGACTGTAGCGTCAGTGAGACTGCAGGGGTCATATGTCTGCCCAATGAAGGCAAGTTGCAACCGCTATGTTTGTATTGTTTCTAAATCGGATAATTGGCTTTTTATTATATTTTAAGATATAAGGACTGCATAGTTTGATATAATGGCTATACTAATGTGAGACTCGACTCGGTCAGAATCCTATGAAAATGACATATTATTAGAGATTTGACTTACCACAAAGTGTATTTAATATTACCAACGTGAGTTCCAGGAACTTCATGACACCGATTTTGATGAAGCGATATTTTGAATGAAAAATGACAAACACCGGAATACATTACGGATATCATATACAGAGTACATTCTCATTTGGTACATGTAGCGTTATTGCACCTAATATACTGAGAACTTAATTAGGAAATAAGTTTTTTTGTTTTTACTATGAACAGTATTTTCCAGGCTGTGAAGATGGCTGGTTCGGAGCAAATGGCGTGTGTTACAAATTTGTTGAAAATCCTACAAACTTCAGACAGGCCACGAAAATGTGTATTAGCTTCCAGGCGCGCCTTGCAATCATAGAATCACAAAAGGAAAACGACTTTTTATCGGAGTGGTTGAAAACAAATACAGGTGGATAAATTTTATTGAATGTCCAGTGATCTCTCAACTCTGCCATAATTTAGACTGGTTTTAGTCGATTTAATTCAATGTTGTCACAAGGCCATTTCGTTGAAATAAAGTTGAGTACCAACATCTGTCAAACTTTAAAGCAATAATAACTCTTCGTTTCGGCCAAAAAATGAATTTTCCTGGAGTAAACAACAATTTTCCCATACTTACCAATGGTTAATGAATCCATTTTTACATTCAAAGTTAGTCCCTGGTTTTTTTCTAAAAAGTTTGGTTTTTTGTTAAAATCTCTTAAGAGATTTTAACAGAGTATAGACATCAGTGGAGGTCACGTGGTCTAAAGACAAGTTCAGATATCGATATCAGAATAAAAGCTATTACTGCTGTTTTTGTGGTAAAACAGAATATATTATATTTCTATGAGTTATTCACAAGGTTTTTATTGTGAAATATAGATCTCATATGAAGAGTTATTATCCCTTTAACAATGCGTAATTTTGTCTGCTGGTTCTTACCCTTGTTTTGAAAAATTCAATAGTTATGGGACCATGGTTTATTGGCGGGAAGAGGAAAGGAGGAATAAGAAATGCAAAATGGAACTGGGTGAGATCGTATCGCCCTGACATGAAGTTCAGCAAATGGTTGCCAGGTAATCCAACATTTTGTGGATAACCTTTCAAAAATAACCCTAGTAAAAATGGCTTATATAATGCATTGTAACAGATAATGATTAAGTTGGAGAAACTTAAAATTCATTGGTTGAAAATTCATGATACAATAGTTGAACAGAACCAAGTTTTATCTAAATTGTTAAGTTCGGTCTCGGAGCAGGTCTAGTGGCCAATATTGTGAATCCTCACTGAGGCAGGAGATGAACGTGTGTACAACTACAATATTTCATTATAAACTGTTATAACTTAACTTTAGTTGCAAAACAAGTCCTGGCATATCAATAGAGTAACAGCAGTTAGTTGGGGTAATGACATATCTGGATTTTTTTTTTTTTCATCTCAGGAGCTGGCCTTGCAAGGAATAAAAAATGTCTGGTGATGCAAGACAGGGTCGCTGGTGAGAACGGGGTGGAATATGAACTGGACTATTTCTACTGGGATTCAGCAAGCTGTAACAAGCCTCTGCCGTTTATCTGCCAAAAGGTGGCAGTGTCATCAGGTAGGGCTGTGATCTCGGGTGGCCGTGCATTGTTTGGAACTTTTCATGGAAAAACACTTCTAAATGGTGTGGTGAGATTTATAAGCTGATTGATTAAGTTCCGTGCCAATTATCAAAGAATTCTTTTTGTTATTGACGATAAAACGATTAAAAAGTCAGACTTGACGACCAACCGTCACCATATGAATATACTAGACTTCAAAGTTTACATACTTGATCTAAATGAGAGGCAAATACTAATAACGCAAAGTGCCGAAATAAAACTTTGTATGACAGACTGCGTTCTCTAATAAACTTCAGACTGCTATGAAGGCAATGGTGAAAATTACCGTGGACGCGTCTCTCGAACAGAAGATGGGACGCTTTGTGAAAACTGGAGCAACGCTACAGATATCAATCCTACAACACACCCTTTTGCGGTTTGTATCATTCATTTCTGACGATGTAGTCTTTTGAGTTAATAAAAGCCCTCTTTAGCTGTGGTAACACTGTTTTAAAGAAATAATATTTTGTCTCGAAAAGTTGTTTTATAACAAATCGACTGAAATATCTTTAAAATGTATCGAAACGTGGTTTTGTTCCTTATCCCTTGTGAAAAGTTCTTTTAAAATTGACAGATACAATTTATCTGTGTTTTTTATGTCTATCACTCTTAAAAATGCCCTGTGCAAATTTACGTGTATGTATGTATGTATGTATGTATGCATGTATGTATGTATGTACTATTCAATGAAGAGCTGTTCTGATATTCGGTAGGGTCTTGGTGATCACAACTTTTGCCGTAATCCTGACTCTGACCAGCGTCCGTGGTGCTACGTCAGTGTGGAGAAACGTAAATATCTGTATTGTGCGGTGCAGCCGTGTTCTTCCTCTGCCTAGATACCAGGTGAAAATAATTTTTTTGTTATACAAAGCTACCCAATGTTCATGCTAGACTATGCTGTATGTTAACTTTTGCTTTGTTATTTTCAAAATCTTATAATGTAGGCTTTTAGATTAGGTAGCAAAAATGCAACAGAGAGCAACCAATTCTGGTTCACATGCATTTTTTTTTTCAAAATTTGAATATAGGAGTTCTGTTCAGACTCAGATTTTGTTTGAATTGCTACATATTTTTTCAGGTGCATAGCGGAAACGAAGGTTTTCGCAAGATGGGCGATGCCATTAAGAATATGTCGCTATTTAGGGAAAAGACAACTTTGTATTGATGCCAGTTTTAGAAGAGATTTTGCTACGACGCAAGAAATCTTTTCATTATGTAAATTGTGTCTCTTGTACGCCTAGTAAACTCTGTGTGTTGGAAATGCAAGCGTCGAGTTATTTTTACGCTCATACTCTACATTTTGACAATACCACGTTACCAGAGAAGTACATCTCAGCGAACAGCGGTCAACTGGGTAAATTGACTGAACACGCCTTGCACTCGCTGATAAAGGATTTTGCTAAAGAAATCTGGGGCAAGCCTAAAATTCATCTGTTAAATAGTATACAAGGACAATTTACTATACTATAATATGTGGGGCACAAGAACTAAAAAATTGCTTAAATTTGACTCGTTTTTTTTTTTTTTGGGGGGGGGGGGGAGGGAGGAGGGAAATAGGGGAAATGTGTGCCTATATAACCGTCTCCGTTGCGCAGCGGTATAGTGTCTGGGTTCTAAATAATTCTTTTGCACTTTTGTATATTATCGTTAAAATGACAAGTTGAGCAGATCATTACATTGTTTGCAGAGTGAAATAATCAAAGTGTATTATAGCTTATTATAACTAAGTTCTGCTGATAATTCAAGCATGATGATTTGTGAACCATATGTTTTAATGATATTAAAATTTGGTCCATGGTATAGTCTCTGGATTCTTAATTATTCCGATTATATGGTTGTCACAAAAAAGCGAAAGGGGGTGGGGGGGCGCATTAGCTAAATATTGTACCCAGGTCCTCTGAGAGTTTAACATATGATGCCCAGCTGAATTCAATGAAGAGATAGCAGTAAATAATGACACACGGAACGATTTTCTGCTATACATAGATTTGACTAGTGTTTCATAAATCTAGTGTTTCATAAATCGTCTATTTTGGTTGGGCAAATCACCCCAACATCTGCCGTTCATGAAATGTACTCGAAATGAGAGCTTTTTCCGTTTTTGTTAGACATAAGTACAAGAATGCCATGTCTCTTTCTCCGTGCTTGACGAGAAAATGAAGGAGACAAATCTTTTTCTCATCATATCCAAGATCAATTTAGAGTGCTAATTTCCCATGTCTTTGTTTGAAATGCGATTTATTGCTTAACACTTATTGTAATGTTATGTCACTTTATAATACGTTAATCATTCACACAATACGCATACCTTTTCCTTCTTTTTGCACGTCTATAAAAACCTCATGAGGAAGCTATGTAAATCGCGCAACAGAGTTCCTTTGATAGTGCGCGTTTGAAGGGCACGTTGGCTGACCGTTCGTGAGAAAAGAATTTATGGCAGGAATGGGTCGCCTCCGCGGGAAATTATCTGAACTCACTTCAGCACTGGTATTGTTTTCGTTTGTCGCAATTGTTAATTCGGTAAGAAACATTCATTTTCTATTCCTGATTCGTTTACATAATTTGCAATTTAAGTGACTATTTATGTTTAATAACGCCATATTATAGAAGACATTATCTCATTTAGGCTCCTTTGACCGCCACGCAGAAGGAGGAGAGAATTCTGGAGGATTTATTCAGGGTATCTTCATCTTCTAAATACACTGATAAACTTTAAAATGAGATAAGCTTCGACAATTGTGGTTTTAAGTATTGCAAGTAACAAAAATTATCAAGCCTATCTCACAACTGCAGTAATTGAAAGAAATTTTTATAATATCATGACTCCCAGAACTCTCAGTTTCTTTTATGTAATATCAATTTATTGTGTGAGTGGTTTGTATGATTGTTATCAGTTAAATGTTTGTAGAAAAATAGAAACATAGCCGGGAAGTCGAAGCCAAGAGCTTACGCTACTCAATCCATCGTGGAGACAATCCCGGGTCAGTTTGAAGGGGACTTACTGTTAACAACAGAACAAGCAAAACACATCGAAACGGAGACCGGCAGAAATGCCCCAACATTTATTAGAAGGAGAAGGAGAAGTTTACGTTCAGTTAAATCCAAGAGAAAAGCAATCCAAGACATCACCAGCCTTTGGCCCCAAGGGGAAGTGCCTTACGTGTTCAGTAAAAGTATAAGTGAGTTTCTAATATATTATGCAACACTATTGTATATACTGCAGATTATACAACTCTTTTCAAATGTTATGCAGGCCAATTAACAGGGTCACTCCGAATCGGTTTTCATCGTTTTTGCGATTCCAACCAATGGATCAACACGTATATAAAAAGATTACTTGGTTCTACAGCATTAAATATTGCAACGTTTTAAGATAATTTTCAGTTTATGTTTACTTACAAAAATAATACAAGTTTGCATGTGTTGTACACAGCTCCGCAGGTCCAAGAGAACGTCAAGAAAGCAATGGAGCATTGGGAAAAACATACGTGCGTTCGCTTCAGTCCATACAGCGAAAAACTGGCGGGTGTCCTTGGACATGATGATTTTATCGACTTCTTTAAAGGCAACGGGTAAGCAATTGTTTGGCATTCCATGAAGAATGTTAATGTCAGTAGTTGTTCATTGCTTATGTTTGTGTTTCAGAGGAAGCAGGGGACAGATTCAAAAATCATAAAAAAGGAGGAGGGGTCTATTTTACAAGTGTTTTGACAATGCTTTCAGTTATGTGAGGTTTACTTTATGCTAACATTTGCATCATTATTTACCTTGTTTATTTATTTTATTTATTTATTTTTGTGTGAGAATGTGTGTGTGAAAATGCTTTATACTTGATTTAAATGTGCCACTTAAATGAAAAACTCTTTTTGATTAAATACTCTTTGCAGGTGTTATTCCTTCGTAGGACGGGTGCGAAATGGTAAACAAGAAATTTCAGTGGGGACATACTGTGATGATTTGGTATGTTATTTTTCCGAAATATGCCCATATATGTATAATCAGTTCTTTGCTTTATCTATTTTTTATCCCAAAGAAACTCTGCTTATTTTTTATCAGTTCACCTACACTACCTTCAAGAATAACCGGTTCTGACCACGAAAGTATTAGTTCTACTGCCATGCTCTGACACACTTTAAAACCCATAAATGTCCCCGCGGTGGTTAACTTTGAGAATCTTATCGATGTATCACTTTCAACTTGAGCGCTTTTCATTCTAATCCCTCACTATTTTTCCGCTGGTAGGGTACGATGGCCCACGAACTAGGGCACGCGCTGGGGTTCTACCACGAGCAGTCACGCCCTGATAGGGACTTTTACGTCGAAGTTAAGGCAGAGAACATAAAGCCAGGCAAAGAAGGAAACTTTGAGATGTACAGCCGATCAAAAGTTTCAGATGAAAATATCCCGTATGACTTGGGCTCAATTATGCACTACGGCGACACCGTACGTATCTAGAAATTGTAATGGTCAAAGAGTTGCTTGTGTGTGAGAAGTGTGATCTTGTCATATTCTTATAATTAGATCTTAAAAGGAGTCGTAGCACGAATGCGTCGAGGCAGAGGGTAAAATAAGTAAAAATTTACTTAGCTGTGCTTTACCCCCTGCCAGTATCCTTAGTTCTTGATTTTTTCTCAATATTTCTAGACCTGCATTTCTACTAACAAATTGGTGAAACGCAGGTCCGTGCGGGCTTTATATGTATTGTGTGCTACCACGGAGAATACCAAGGTCTTTGGGGCAGGAGCACCTTCTGGCATTAGACTACTGAAATTGAGTAAACTTTACGGAAAAGGGGAGTCGTATTGCCCGCCTTGTACAGCGCCTCTCTTGATATAAGGGAGGTTACTCACCAAAGTTACACGATTTGATCATATCTAAGGTTTCAACTGATTCAACAATTCAGTCTGATGGTTGACCTTTCCGTCACGTACATGTATCACATAAAATTACGAGGAGCTAAATTCAATGCAATGTTTAACTGTTTTGTAGGAATTCGCGACTAACAAAAGTATCATTGAAGGCAAAGCCACGTTGGTGACCAAGGACAAGGAGATGCAAAATGTCATAGGACAGAGACTAGGGCTTAGTTTCTATGACATTAAAACGGCTAACGAATTGTACAAATGTAACGGTGGGTAAAACAAAAGTTGTGTTCTTGTATTTGTAAAATTTTACTTACATAACATCAAGCAAGTGAATTTTTACGTAACGATCTTCTGTCTTATTTTCATTATAACATTTTCTTCAATTTTTTTTCAGATGAGTATAGTAAACTTTTTGCTAGTTGCCACCTTTCTGTTTTTTTTTAAACACTAATTATTTTTGCCAAACAAGGTTTATACGATTAGCAATATCAAACATTACGAATTTCCTTGCGTTTTATACTTCAGTATACTGCGATTTGTACTACATTTGTGATTTGTAAGATATTATACATCTTATCTCCAGAGCACTGTGAGTCTCACATTCAGTGTGAGAACGGTGGGTTTATTGGTCCTGATTGTAACTGTAAGTGTCCAGAAGGACTGGGAGGACCTTATTGTACAGATGTGGCTAAACCCAGTGGCAGTAAGTGCTAAGTTTCTTCCACAGACCAATTACAGACTATTACAATCAAATCATAGACTTATTCCGAACAGTAATAAATAAATGACAATAAAATAAATGATAAAATTACTAAATAAACAAAGTAAGTAAATAAATAAAATAATGAATAAATAAATGACTAACAATATTTTCAGAGGAATGTTGGGAAAAACACTAAACGGGATAACGCAGTCATGCGAATTTTTCATTTATTTACTTAACAAAAAGTAATTAAATAAATAAAATGATAAGTAAATCAATAAAATAGGTAATAATAATAAAAAGAAGAAGAAAGGATGTAAATTGTCAACGTCACACACGTTGAGTTTCGTTTTTATACAAACCTCGTTTCCAGTCCACGGTAGTCATTGTCAGTACTCTAAAAGTCAGGCTGGCATGACTCTTTTCATGCCCGGTAGACTGTGAGCATTTCATATTTTAATTTTTAAATCAGGAAAACTTTGACTTGCAATTAAAAAACACGAAAAGAGATAACACATTCATAAGGATAAGTTTTTTTCCAAACAATATGAAATCATCTCAGCTGTGAAAGGCAAATTTGAAATGTTTACTATTTTTTCTGTAGTTCCATCTGTAATCCAATGACCTTTATTTCAGTGTGTGGAGGGGTGTATGAGACATGCCAAGGGACGATTCAGACACCCAACTGGCCTGATAACTATTTGAACGAAACTACCTGTTATTGGTTTATCAAAGTAAGTGGTTTTAGCAGTGTAAAAACTTCTTACTAAGGAGTGTCTGGAAAGAAAATGATAGGTGAAGTGTAACAAATACAATCCGCTTCAGAACCCGAGAGTTGACTACATTGTCACTGTCGAAAGCATAAATTAAACATGGCATAGGCGCATTGGTTGCTTCTTTTAAAGATTAAAATCTTTAACTCTAACTGCAGCTTTTATAAAACTTCATGAAAATCTTACTGCTTTAGTTGCAAGAAATAATTATCATCTTTACTATTGAAAAAAGTGTAGGCAGTTTAAACTGTGAATGCTAAAGTGAAAAGCTACAGGTAATTCAGCGGATGCCTTTTGGTCAAATAAACGTTTACGACAGTGAAACGTGTACGACATGCTTCTCAAATAGGATGATATCGATGTCTTTGTGACCCCCAGTGTCCTTAAATTTCCTTTGATACTCCACCATTTAACCAGGTTTAAAACCCGTTAAATCTTACCTGCTTGGTGAATATTTCGATTTACCTAAGAAAACTGTCATAAAATGAAAATTCATGCGCATTTGTAAACAGATATTGTTGTTCACAGTCATGTCTGTGAAGTGTTCCATCAATTATTTGGCTTGAAAGTTTAGTGGCGTGGAGTGGAGTTTTCGGTTTTCTCTAAGATGTATTTCGTATATTAACCTCAGTTTTTCATAGGGTTGCATTCCTTAAATGTATCCTTTGAGTATGTCATCCTTCATGTGTATGATATTTAAATACCATTCATGAACATCAATGAACACATAAAGGCAAGGGAAAAGTCGTATTGAACTTACTTTCCATAAAATAAACGCGTAGTGATAATAAAACTTAGAGCTGTAGAAATTAATAGTATCAGTGACATGGTTTAATCATAATGCTACCTAATACACTGGTAAAATCCAGGCTCCACGTGGCTCTAGTATTGAGGTGACCTTCAGCCATTTCAACCTTGAAGACGATATCCTGCACGGACGCCAAAAGTGTGGATATGACTGGGTCGAAATTAGGAAATTTGGACCGGAGAAAGTGGGACCAAGGTATGCGTTGATGCTTCTGTTAAAAATATATTGTTGACCAACTGGTTTTATAATCATTATTATTTTGGTTATTAAAAAACCAAGAGGAGTCGACTTTTTAAGAGAAAAGAGAAAAGTCTCTTTAAATGCCGGTGTCTAGCATAAAGATATTACACGTTTTGTACATTGTATTCGTAACATCGTATAATAGAAGGCATATTTACAAAGGACTTTTTTTCATCAATTACGAGTTCACTGTCACGTTACTGAAATGCATTCATTTCAGGTACTGTGGCAATCAACTGCACGAAACAACTGCCACCTACAATGTCAGCAGTCTGCTGATAAAGTTCTCGTCAGATGATTCCTATACTTACAAGGGGTTTCAAGCCACATATAGAGTTATACAGAAGAGAACAGGTACTGCAGAGGACCTGTTTTATCCATAATGTTTTCTCTCGTGGTCCCGTGGTTGGAAAAAATTTCGATTTGATTTAAATAATTTCTGTACCAACACAAATTTTATTCCTGTTTGAATATCTGTGTTTCATCATTTTTCGACTTTGTTTCCGGTAGCATATGTGTGATAATACATATTTACAGTCAAATGAATTATTAAAAATACGAAGCACATTAGTTTCCCATTCTTTTATCAGGGAGTTGGGGTCCTTACAGCGCCTGGAGTCAGTGCCCTGTCAGTTGTGGCGGAGGAATACAAGTACGCATGCGCTCTTGCCTCCCAAGCGGAACCATCTGCTCTGGCAAAGATTTGGATTTCAGGAAATGCAATGAACACCCTTGTCATGAAGAAATTTAGGAATGAAATGATAGAATTCTGTAAATCTAGAAAACTAAAGCCCAAAGACAATAAAAAAACAAACAGTCAGGGTGCAGTATGCACGGGATCCCCAGTGATCTCAAACGGAACCACTATTGTGAAAATGGAACTTTTTATCAATTCAGTTATACAGTAGGCCTACTTAAAATAGATAAGTAATATCTAAAACATGATGACTGTATAAAGTGAGTGTTGAGACGTGTTGAAACGTTAAGCATTGACAATTTAATTAAAGCAGTTTTGCAAATGAAAACGGTAGGCCTACACATTTTCACTTGCCTGTAAGATATGGGCCTTCTTGTTGGATCAGATTATTTTGACGATAAATCGATTTCAACCACCCCAGGTTTCACTTACTTCTCAGTCAGCATAAAAATAATGTGAAAAAAAAAGAATCATTCATAAATATTGTAATTAAATAGAGTTTTTGTGGTGGGTGGGGGGGGGATAATGGACACTTCAAGATTCCTGATAAGTGTTTAAAACGTCATAGAGAAGTCATAGATTTTTATCTCTTATTTCTTGCATGAGAATGGCTAATATTTCATTATATCGAACATTTTCATGTCATTGAAATGAACGGCCTATGTTTCAGCCTGAGGACCGGGGTATTTTTGACCTCTGAATATAGTAGCATTAATAAATAGGTGAACTCCACAAAGCAGCATTACTTGTGTTGTTTAGTTTCTCTTTACAAGCAAAAACTAACTTGCCACCGACTTCTGCTTCTTTTAATGTCCTGAAACGCGTGGTGTTTCAGAGTACAAACAACCATCCTGCTCTTTTTTTTCTTTCACCAATTGTGCACTAGAACGGGCGTCGTTTCAGATGCATTTTGATACGGGCCTTTCACCGAGTAGTGCGTTGATTTGGCATGGACAGATGATATACAGTTTTTTGTGCCATACAACGTGAACAGACATGAAATTGCCCCTGGGAATGACCTAATAGTGACTTGGTGTAGCAAAAAATACAAATATAAGAACCATTTGGTACAGCTGTATGCACTTGACCCATCATTCTCAACCGTCTCAGCTGGCACGAATAACCTTGCTCTACGTGTAACCCTTTTATCAATGTTTAAAATATTTACCAAAGTTTTGCCATATTATGATTACGATTATTCCTGCTGTACGATGACCAGCAACATTGTGTCCTAACTTTTAGTTTGAAAAGGACGAATGTCATTATTCGACAGAGGCACGTATTTCTAAATTCGTGGAGCATTTGCAGCAATAGTAGAAATATATAAGAGAATAAAACATACCCTGAAACACTGAATATAATAAATAAGCCTACCCAATACACAAAAAATTCGTAGGGCGCGGCCATGTGCGTATGGTTGGGTATAAATCGTTACAACAAAAATTGTTCAAAGTACATATAGAGCCTATTAATTATTTGTGATAAAAGGTGTATGCATATAGATGCTCATGTTATCTTCGCAGAAAGACAAATAAAAATTTCAAAACTGTTCGCGATTAAAACACCACCTAAATACAATTTTTACTGAAAAATTATGTTAAAACCTTGTTCTTTCACCATTCACGTAGTGGAGGCCCTTTTTTACCTTTCTTAACACCAATATGGCGTAGATTAAGTAATACAGGAAATACTTGAGCACTTGCCATCCATGATAGCCAATGTAGAGAGGAAGGTTGACTTTGATTGTTTGCTAGCATTATGTTCAGATTTTCTTCACTAGCAATATATTTTTCGCAAGTAAAATGTTCATGTTGTCTTCTCTATCACAATCTATTCGGTTTCGATCACAGGTTTGTTAGACCTACCCTTCTTCGCTGCCAGTAGATTATTTGACAATGCTTATTAGCTTGTAGACAACGTTATGCACAATTTTTTTATTGACGATTAAGCTGTTATCTGTCCATATATAATACAATTGGTTTCTATTTCGTTGAATTTCGTTGATACTGTTTTTACCGTTGGCTTTATTTCTTTGTTTCTTTATTTGTACAAACCTGGAATTAAATAAATAAAAAGTGACATCAATATACGATAAATAAGTGGAAAAGCATTCCGAGAACGCAGACCTCCGCTAAGGCAGCAAAGTCTCCACCCAATGCCGTTTCACCCCTAAATTTTCATTCTATAATGATTTAGTTTTTTGATTTTTGATTATTCATTATTGATTGATTATTGATCCGGATCACCACCAAAAACTAATCATCATTTCCTTGGTCCACTTCTGACAGTTTCTGAAAATTTCATCAAAATCGGTCCATAACTTAGTTTTTTTATATTTGATTATTGATTATTGATTGATTATTGATCCAGATCACCACCAAAAACTAATCACTTCTAAGTTAACCCATTTCTCACCTTCCCTGAAAATTCCATCGAAATTCATCCATAACTTTCTGAGTTATGTTGATGACAATCAGACAGACAGACAAACAAACAAACAGGGGTGAAAACATAACCTCCTTGGCGGAGGTAATAAACTACTGAAATACTAAACTACTGAAGAACTATTAAATACTTTACTTCATTACTTACATTTTGATGCTATCTGCTATGTCCGTTACATATTTTGTCTACTGCTATCTACTGCCCCTCCCTTGAGGTAGCTACTCTTTATACTCTCGATCACGTGTTTCAACACTGTTCATATAAACGTTAACTCTGACCACATGGTCATGTGACTTAGTGCACTTACAATTATTTTACTTGTTTCCACTAATGACAACATTATAAGCAGATATTATAATTTCAATTTAATCACGATACAATTTTATTTCCAATAGAAATCACCTGACAATGTGAAAATAAAAAGGAATTGATTAAAAAATAAATAATAAAAAATGTGTGGATTCTTTATTTACTCTGTTTACTTGTTACCGGTTTTACAGGCATTTAATCTTGCAAGTGTTTTATGGTTTGTGTACTTCTCTAAAATATAAGTCTTGTTGTTAATGTATCAGATGTATACCACCTTACCGAATACCATTATAAGGCGAATTAATTTAATCCTATTGAAGACATGAACACATTTCTGCTACATAAGTTGGGGTTAAGAACATTGTCGGCGTTTCCCTTCTACCCGCCTAAATATACTTGTCACTGCTTCAGTGATGACGGCCACCGCATACTGACATGACAGAAAGTGAACGTTCGGACTTTGTTATAATGGCTTCGTAAGAAAAGTGACCAAGCCGGTTGTTGTTAGAGGGTTGGTCCATTGTCCCTTTCCTAGTTCTTAAAGTGATAAGTGTGAGTTAATTTAAACTTCCCGACGGAACTTTCAAAATGCATGACGCTACATAAGAGATGTGCAATTATTCCTGCCGTATTTCGCTCTAAAGAAAGGAAAGGAAAGAAAAGACCATATTTTCAGCAACATCGTGACAAATTTCCTGTCAGAAAACAATAAATTCCAAGCTCAATGAATCCAATTTGTTGACTTTGGCATTTTTTGCGCAATTGACACTTGTATCTTATTTGAAAATCACCGTTAATTTTTTTCTTGAGAGGTCTAAATTTTATGAAAATCTTCGGATTCTTGTCAACTGAACAATTTCAATATCGGTCCTCCTTTAGCTGTAACTAGGCATATGGAGAGGCGGATTGTGGCTACATTTTGTTAGCCTGAAGAGTTACAGGCACCACGTAGATGTTCGAGCGTTTGATGAGAATAAATGAATAACATATCACTGCTTCTCTTACGCAAAAGAGAAATTGATGGGTTTGATTTGCTGCTTTCAAAACTGAAATACGTATTAGTCGTATGATGCAATTAAACTCTTGCTATTTGCACAAGAGAAATCATTTTGTACCTACTTAAACATTCAGGAGAGTATGGTCTATAAAAACAAACGCATAGGAGGTATTTTGGATAAGATTTGCGTAGAAAGAAAGCTGACAGGTTGCGTTCAAGATATTCCACAATTTAGAAGTATGGGAAAGCCAGAAAACGGGTTTCGCGTCTTGGTCATGGCATTTCTTCTGTTGGCACTGATTGCAGTTTGTAATACGGTAAGTTGACAAATTTACCTCCTTTCTCTAGCTATAACATATTTTTCAGGAACAAAAATTATGCTGTAAAAGATGTTTTTTCGATCTTCATTATTTCTTAATGGAGATGTTTTAACAGTTGTTAACGATATGAGAAACAAGTTGGTAGAAGTATTAAGATATGTATGTAAATCTTATATAACGTAAAAAAACTAATTAAAAGAAAGGTTATGCTATATGGAGTTTTTGCCCAATTTAATTTTTCTCTCAAAACAATCTTTCTACTTACGTCCCTTCACTTGGATTCGATGTTCTGTAACATCTATAATTTAAACTTTTTTGGAAACGATTCATTTAGAACGCTATGTCTTCTTGAAATTTTAAAAGGAAATATCGACTTTAGGTCATTTTCTTTTAAGGGCTCATCGTTTAAAGGTCTGAATTGATAAAGTTTATTACTTTTGCAGGATATTTAGACAAAATATGACTTTGCGAATTTCAAAACGTGTATAGTTTAGATTTATCAACAAGACATATTAATGTTTTATTGTGTGACATTGCATTCCAGCTATCGTTGGCCGAAGCACAAGATGAAGAGAAGAAACTGGAGGAACTTATGAGGGTAATCTTTTTTGTTTTATTATTATTATTATTATTACAGAACACATTTTTCCAATATAAAATAGTTGAATAACAGAAAATTGACAATACTGATGATGCCAATTCGTTTCTTGTTCCTTTGCGCTTAAAAACACGCTTATTGAAAATGGAGCATAGGTATGTCTGACCATATAACGCAGGGAATTATATCGGATATAATTCCCTGGTCTGACTTTGAATAATTGTTTTCCGAGAGGTTTTCAAATTTGATACCGATATTTGGTTAAAGGATCTTGTGAGTGCTTCTTTTCACAAACTTCATATACTTTATAAACTACTTCTCACCTATCACTTGATGAATCTGTAACAGAGAACTAGTCTTACTGGTGATTTTCCGTTGTTTCATTACCTGAATCTGAATAATAAATATACGCATCCTCGTGTTATCAACAGTGACGAACATAGAGCGTAAGAAAAACTACAGATTTTTTATTTTACAATCATAATATAAATCATAGATATTACGTGCCTGAATAATAAAATGCACATGTCTTAGTATTATCATACAATGACGAACATAAAACATTCCTTGTACGAATGACTACGACGACCAAAGAAACGCAGATTTTGTACACGTAAAAGCAATAGAAAACAACGATGACAATGACCGGTGGTCAAATAGGAATACATTACGTAACACAGAGTTTAATGATAACAGAAAGAAAGAAGATGGATCAAGGAATCAACTGTTACAAATCATCCTCTTCACTGAGAGCCAATAATAATAATTATTATTATTTATTGCAAATAAAAATTGGAAAAGAGAAAGAAAAGTAACTATAACAC